ACTTATTTACCCAATGTCTGTTGTGATCTGCGGCTGGGCATTGTCATAAGGAAGCAATGGCGAATCTGGTTTTAGTGCCAGCTTCTCCACCATCGTTCACGATTCCTGACAATTACGTTCAAAAGTAACTGCGGCGCCAGATATCAAGAAACTGTGGTGATTAACGCCAAAACCAGATCACCAATCTATCCCAGTGAGCATTATCCAGCTGATCTTTCATTTCAGATTTCATTTCAGATTCAGTTTGGTTTGATAGACCAAGGTGTCTAACCACTCGCGATTGTCGTACTTGCGATCCACTTCTAACCGCCGGTAGCAGTTCGATCGAAATTTCTTCTTTTCTATGTTGATTCTGCAATTTGGTGTAAGCTTGGACGCGGGCCTCTCACTGTGCGTTATATTAGCATTTACTCATGTGTCGCAAATGACCTAATATTGTTTTGACACTTACATCAGAGGTTCAGTAAATTGACGCTAGCTCAGCTGTAGTTTAAGACAGTTTTGCTTTTAATGTCGCCATCAGTTTGTCATAATCACAACATTTTTCGGGCGGCCACGAGGTTAATTTCTTAAGTCGAAATTTCGTGAACGAAAGCGATAGAACAACATTTCGTTCGTTAGTAGTGCAAGGTCTGTATACGTCATGAATATTGCGTGCCGTTTGAGACCGTTTGTGCGTCGGAATTTATATTCAAATATCACACGAATATTCTTATATACGTTAAGTTTGGCGTGAGTTCATTCTGTGACATTGATCACTTAAAGACTGATAGCTGAATGACGGATAGACGGGCGGTATTAGAAGGTAAGTCAGACTGACGATCAGTCCAACCGAAAACTTCTACGCGATAACACGCATACGCATTAGGTATGGATTTCAACAAGAAAATAGCTTGTGTTGCTATAATATTAGCCATAGCTTTGAGGAAACGTAGAAAAAGAAAGCAATGGTGTAAAAAGTGGCTGATGAAAAGAGAATTTTACATACACTTAAATTTACTGAATGAGTTATGAGACACAGGAGAAGAAGATCACTATCCTAATTATTATCGAATGAAAGAATATCGTTTCAATCATTTGTTGCAAAAGGTAAAACCATACCTAACTAAGCAAGAAACCTGCATGAGGAAGTCAATCAGCCCAGAGGTGAAATTGGCAGTAGATAACTTTACGATATATTGCTCCTGGAAGTAATATTAAAGATTTGAAATACTTAGTGATAATGTCACCAGCAGCTATAAGTCAGGCTTTAATGGATATTCGTTTTATTCGAAAGAATAGGAATAAAAACTTCTAAAGGTAGAATAAATTCTTTCTCCGGGGCTAATGGTTGAGAAGGAGACGTCGGGGGTGGTGAGGAAGTCGGCGCACGTGGCGACACGACATGCGACTCCATCGCTATCTAAGCGGTGACTGTCATCAGACTGATAGCTATTAAACACACGTTCAGTCCGGGATCAGTCTGACCAGACTGACAAAAATTATTAAAATATTTAAATAATCATCATTCAGGACCATAAAACAATCAGTCTACGGGTACATAGTTAGTTTTCCGTCATTCTGACATCAAAGATGGATTGAACTTTTTTTTTAATTGGAATGGGGGCAAACGAGCATGCGGCTCACCTGATGGTAAGTGACTACCGCCGCCCATGAACAACCGCAACACCAGGGGAACCAGGGGGGTTGTAGATGCGTTGCCGGCCTTTTAAAAAGGAGTAGGAAGAAGGAGAACTGACGCCAGAATGAGCGTGTAACCTCTGTCTTAGAGCTCCTTGTTATAAAATATAGCGATATCGTAGAAGAAACAAAATCAAAATAAATAAATGAGTAACTGCTTTTGAAAAAGGAATAACATGCCTTAAATATAAAATATATTCGAATTTAGATTTACAATTCCTACCAAGGCTATGTCCAGTTAAAAGTGACCGCTTCGACAAAATGGAAATTTTATAGGTAAACATGTAATATTTCGTTGTTTGGATATATATATACATAAACACTCATGCCTGTCACCCAGAGACTGAAAATTTCTATTTCGCACGATCCGAATTGCGAATAATTTTATATTGCTAATATTTAGCGAAATTCAGGCGTTGTTCATTTCACATCACGAAATTATAATTTCTTTGCATAATGCATGTGACGCCACTTTCAAATTACATCGTTTTCCTGAGTTGCTGCAAAAATTTAGATTTCTAAAAATTGTATTGTAAATATAGGAAAATACGGGAATTATATTTTATTTTTATTCTCATATCTAACTTTATGAATTGCGAGTTCTTGGATTTCAATGGCAGCTAGATGCAAGCTTTTATGAACCACAACACATGTTAAAATTCGTGTTCGAATGTCATTTTCCCTATGTTTTAATGCTAGATTAGAATGAGTGGAAGTTGTGTTTGCCTCAGGTTAGGGTTTACATGTTGCTTGTCCTTTCCCGTTGTATCTTTCTTTCTGTATATAACAAAATTTTTACTTCTCAAATTATTTTATCGTAAAAATTCCTGTTACAGTAGAACACCTATTATCCGAATTAATTGGGACCGGGGTCGATTCGGATAATCGAAAATTCTGATAATCGGACATAGACTGGTATATAATATAGAAAAACGAACTGTCACACCTAGAATAAACTTTATTAAGTTTATAAATAGTTTTACACTTTATAAAGTATAAAGAGTAAAACCCATTTTTTCACTGAACATTCGCGCCTTTTCACATAAAATCGATCGCGAAATCGGTTGTCCAATAGAACGTTGCTGCAGAAACCACGTAAAAGTAGCATTCTCAAGCTGTTGATCCTTTGCCTTTTTCATTACTTTTCGCGACGAACATCCATCACCACTTTCCAACGCAGTCACAAAACTTAAAAATTTTTCACTGTTATTTTTAATATCAGTTAACCAAGTACTGTATAAGTTATGCAAGTAAGTAATGTTACTGACTGTACTGGGTTTTAATTTTTTATATTACGCTTAGGATCGATTCGGATAATTGGCGATTCGGTTAATTGGCGTTCGGATAATCGGCATTCTACTGTACTTTGTACGATTTTCCTTCATAGATGAACCAATCACAGAACTTTAGCTAAGGACAAAGCTATATAATCTTGCTAACTGGTTTCTAAATCATAATTGTTTTTCTTTTTTCACTTACTCTATTTCGTAAAGATTGTTTACAAAGCTTATACATTTATCTCTCGCACGTCAAATTGTAAATTTGAAATTAGTTTGTCGATACTGTTACAGCCTACCAAAAGTCAAAAAGACCACTGCTGAACATAGGCCTTCTCCATAGGTTGCCTCATAGGAGGGATTTGCCATAGTTGCCACGCTTAGCAAGTGGGTTAGCAACCGCAGCTTTTAGTGTTATTAGAAAGACGCTGCTGGTTTGCCTCCCTTACTCGCCTCTTACTACACCCACGGTTCGATATGGGGTAGTGCACATTCTTACACTGCTAGTATAGGGTAAAATTATTATAATTCTAGTGTATCACGACCACGATTACTATAGTTTATTGGTGGATGATATTTAAAAAAAAATATGATTGGTTATTCGTATATTACGCTCTATAGTACATCTTGTACCGTGCTGCTGTTTGATATCCCAAACGAAGAGAAAAAAAAGGATCGGCCTACGTTTTTGTGTATGTAAACGTGACAATTTTGCAAAATTATCGTATTAATAGACACACTGCAATATAAAGTTGCATATGTATTCGCCTTTTGAAAATCTCTTATTGATCGGAATTGATTCGATGGACTAATTAAAGTCACCTTCATCAGCTTGTAACAGGTGCAATCTTTCCACGCATTACAGGTTGACGAATGTTTAAATTGCGACGTTTAATCACAGCAGGTTTAAGTGAAAGTGTTGTAAGACATTAAGTTCAAAGGAAACAAGACGTGTAGCTATATTTATCTTTAAGGTAAGTTACATATTAACGGAAATTATAATAATTAATGTCTCGAAACTTTCCATGGAATTCATACTATCTTGATCATTGATGTTTTTTACATTGAAGTATGTTTGCTATGCATACAATTATGTATATAATATGCTATTATCAAATTTACGTTACCGTATAAAAGGTAAAATTATAATATTCGCATACCCTGTACATCGCAAAAATATTATTCTAGTGGAACGAATGAATGTAGAAGTAGAATCGTTAGATGGAGCGTAGAGAGGTATGATGTGCTAGTGTGTGTGTGCTTGTCCGAATATCGAGGCCGTACCACGAGATGTCAGTGTTGTATGTGGACTAAGTGATTTAGATACTTGAGATGATTTATTTCGTAGTTGATTTTATTAAAATATATCAAAGATTGCAAATATAGCAATATTTTCATTACGGGCTAGAATTAGGTGCTCAACTTTTCAAAATTAAGTTCAAAATTTTTAAACTTAACGATTTAATTGAATAAGACTACTTTTACCGATTTTTTCGCGTTTAATTAACTTATCGGACCAAAATTAATAATTAAAAAAGCTGAAGGTACTCCGCGTGAACTCTGACATCGGAACGTCAATCACCTCAGTCCCCCGTGACCTGGGTGCTGGAAAGCACTCGAAACGTCGGAAATATAAAATAAGTTAATTAAACGCGAAAATATCCGTAAAATTATTTTTATACAATGTGTAGTGTTCGCGTAAATATAAGAAATCATTAACGATTTTATATTTAAACTTAACATTTTGTACCCGTTGATAGGAAATGTTTATTGCATGCTATAAATACTGTACTGTGTACTACACTGTATATGTACTTATAAAAATACTTATTAGAGGCCGTAATATATTAGGAATGTTAACAATTCTTTAATTTTGCTTTTTTATAGCCTGACTTAAGAATTTTTATATATGCAGTAACTGGATTAGTTATTAGTTATTATATTCTTAAATTATCAAATTTTGCAAGCGGCCGTATAGCGAAGTAAAGGTAAACTCGACGCGGGCGCAGCGAGTGACGTGTCTCTTCTCACTTCTCTTCCTTCAGTGAACCGCGAACCACGGTGCACGTAAGACGTATTCAAAGTACTGTCGCATCAAACTGTAAAGTAATTAATACTAATTGGTGTTACATTCAACTGTGTGTGAGATTGCGTACGTCAACTTCCACAAGATTCGTTCTATCGCAATTGGAATTCAAACTTTTCGCTTTCACGGTGGAGCTTTTGATCGCAGGGACTGTGTTTTGAAAGTTTCGATTGCGGGATAGATATAAAGTGTCTTACAAATTGGTGTGTTACGGGATTGTCGCGTGCAACTTAACGGATTCGGTGAGTGAGTGGCGTTGTTGTTAATTGCGATTTATCAGGAGATGTAATAATTAAGATCGTCTTGCATGCACTATCGACGTTTCGAAACTAATTGTGGGTAAAGAATGACGCCAGCATTTTATAAGCTCGAATTACTATCACAAAAGGGTGGCGTAATATTTTTGGCAGACTTAACGCAATTTAATTCAAATGGCAATGACAATGGCAAAATATAAATGTAATGCCCACTTTATTTCAGATATTTCATATCGCAACTTTACAGTAGGTTATAGTAATATACGGAGTCATAATATATAAATATTTTAATCGGTGACCATAATATACTACTTACAATTTCTATCTATCTATCTTTTAAAAAATGTTACCTTTACACTAGGATTTTCTCCTGTATCGTAGAGACAGTTTACAAACACAAATTGCACAAGGACAAACATCCAGACCCGGAACAATATTTGTAGGCCATACAAATACTTGTTCCGTGCGGGATTCGCATCCGCGGACCCAGCGTTGCACCTCATTGCTAAGCCACTGCACCACGGAGTCGTATCTTTATAAGAATTCACAATTTCCTTTGTATAATATGCTAATATAGAGCATGCACTCTTAGAGATTTTACAAAAATTTTACAAAATAAAAAGATAAACTTGATATTATCTGTGTACTGTTACATATCATAGTGCTAATAAACGTACCTTGTGTACGAGTATAATATCTTTATTACTATATTATACTTTACTCTACGTTACTACTTATTAATATTTAGTTTCTAATAAATGAAAGCTTAATCAATGATTTTCAACAAGTCTATTTTCATAATGACACCTAATCCATCGTTTAATAACATTAAATGATAATATCATTAATTCATTAGATTCGGGACTTCGTTTAAACTTACCTATGAATCCATGTTGATAATAATAATAAATCTTTGATATATTGCTACCTGGCAGGTAACTGTTACTACTAAGATTGTAAGTCACGTAATACAAGTTTAACGTTATCAAATTGGAATTTTCTTTAAATTTATAGTCTTCGAGTTTTTGTAAGATTAAAAAATAAGGTTATAAAGTCGGATGATCAAGTTTTATTTAAGTAAATATGAAAAAAAAAACAACAAACAAAATTTTTCGTTAAAATAAAATAGGTAATTTCGTATAGATTTCCGCAATAACTTCTCATAAGCAAAAATATTAAAAACGTATAATTACTGATGATTAAGATAAGCTGACGTTAGTGAATTAATTATAAAGAAGTCGCAATACTAAATTAGAATTACTAGGTGGTTGGACTATTTTTTCGTCTTGGTAGTAAGTAAGGCTTCTTTTCTGGTCAGGAATTTTGTATATATAATTAAATATATATATATATATATATATATATATATATATATATATATATATATATATATATATACTCTTGATTTGGCCCATTTTCAATATATCGCCAATTTGGTCGATAAACTTTCGCCTTGGACGTCCCTTACCGACTGTACCGTTCACCTCTGCAACATAAATTGTCTGAATTTGAATCTTGTCTGAGTAGGTATCATCCTCTTACATATTTCAGCCGCCAAATGGCAGTGCGCGCACCGCTGTTCCGTGTTGAAGGATATGGAGAGCTAGTGTAATTACAGGTTGTGGGGCATTTTATCTTAGTCCTCAGAGGTGATAACGCATTTGGCTGCAGGTGTCCTTGGAATACAGTAGTCACTTATCATCCGGTGGACTGTGAGTTCGTTTGTCACTTTAGTTTTACAAAAAAGGATACTAATACAGTATTGAGATTTCGTAGGCATATATACATTGCTACATTAATTTTAGTATGTGGTAGAGCAACGCCGCTGCGTATTATGATTGTAACACGAATGGGTTGTATCGACCCGGGAAGGACCAATTAAGAAGTAGTGCTGCTATGTATCGCATGGCGACCGACAAGCAAAATATACCAGCAACCGCAGACCCTTCTTACTGGTAGATAACGAAGTATTTAATCTGAGACTTGACAACGCAGCTGTTATTAGGTTTTTAATCAGATATTTAGGTGCGATGGACTATTGCATTCACTTATCATAAGCTCATCTATAAAAACAGCAAGTATTTTAATATCATTTTGAATTATATTATATTTCTGCGTTTTGTGTTTATAGCTGATTATTAAGATGTAAACGTAATATAACTTAAGCGAGCGAGAAGTATGTTGTTTAACCTGTCGGTATCAGAAGTTTTTATTATGCATTGTTTTCTCCGATACAATTACGAATACAACAACTATTGAATTCGAATTGTGAAATATTTGTTTGTTTATACCCTCACCGGCGTCGGTTATAAACAATAACATTTCATATTGCTAACGCTATCTTTTATCGGAGAATGATCGTGGCTAACATTTTCCCGATAAGAGAAACGAAATGGTTATAGAAATTCTTAAAATTGAACTGAAACAAAACTGTAAAAATATAAGTTTATTTTAGTGACATAAAATATTTTAAAATAATCCTAAATATTATTAAAAATATACACAACAATAATTATCATCGAAGCTATAGATTGATACAAAAGACATCAACGGGTTTCGTAAGATATTACTTTAAACACAAACCATTTCATGATATCGATACATAACGGTCGTTTCAAATCATATCGTTATTTTTTAATATAGAAATCATGTTATGGTGAACGGTTTCAATTTCTTTACGATAAATATTTATTATATCTTGAATATGAATTTGAATGAAATTTGCTTACAAAATAGTGATATTTTGTGAGCAATTTGTTGATTAGGAAATCATTATCACCATATAAAAAGGTAACATAACATTTTATTATTGTAAACTAGCTGTCACTTTTACTACTTTTACGTTTCTTCCTGAAAAATTGACGGTTTTAGGTGCTATATTTTACGTTGAACAGTTGCCTCCTCTCCTTAGGGACTGTCTTGCAAATAAACATTCCAAGCATAGCCACATATCTATTTCTCAGTAAGCGTATTCGAGCAGGAGGCTTAATACACAACTAGGAATGAAGTTTAAAATCTACTATTTATTAGTAGCAATCCAGGGTTCCCTGTATTCAGTAACAAAATTATAAATGGGAAACTAACAAAGTCAACTCATTCAACATCATCCATTTTTCTTTTCTTTGCCATAAACGTTACTCACAAGGATTATGCCTGCATCGCGTTTCACATACATTAATAGCACATGGATAAACATTCAGAATCGAAACAATTATTTGTAGCCATACTAATAGTTGTTCCGTGTGGGAATCGAACCCAAGACTTCGCAACGCCGCTAACAAATATTTAACCACTGCGCTACCGAGCCGGTAAATGGTGTATAAATATAAACAAGTTATGTCTTATTCACTTGCATCAGCTGTAAATGCTGATATTTGAATCAAGACGTCAGTAGTTGCTGGTTTTTATTTTACTTTTAAGTATGTACTTAAACAGTTTGTTCCATTATTGTCTGTGACCTACATACGGCTATTGAAATTCAACAGTCGCCCGCTAAGACTTGAAATTTGTCACGCGTTCACGTGTAAACATCGCCTTTTTACTTAGACCGTTGGTTAACTAAAATGGGTAGAATTAGATCATGAAATATAAACCTGGTAAGGCGGTTGGGTGCCTTTTTGCCTGGTAGTCCGTCCAAATCGGTACAAGTAGTGTATTTATTTTTGCGTACTGATTTGAACTCTGATTTCAGACTTTGAGGCATTCATCTTTGTTCTCAGAGGTGACAACGCCTCTGTAAGTTTGTTGCCTCTGTAAGTGTGTTTTTTGCTTAATGTTGACGAAAAACGACCTGAGAAAACATGCAAGGATCAATAGACGCTGATAGCACAGGTAGTGCTTTATGCCATTCAATAGTTAAGGCCTATGTACAGCGAGTGAACTTGTGATGACTGTGGTGATGATTTTTATAACACTAATATTAGTCTTGAAAAGTCTAAATTCTCAACTTACGTCTTGATATATTATGGTAAGTAGTAAATTATTTCGAGTAAACACGGTAAAAATAGTCTTCCTGCTAATTATTGTCAATGAGGTTTTGTATACACACCCTTACATTGGCAATGAATAAAGAAGGCTAGTTTCAAAGCAGTGCAGAGCGCCTGCACGGAATATATAATTGTATAATATATATAGTGGTTGACTTCACCATGGCCATAGGTACCTTTGGGTGCATTGACCAATTACAATATGGTATAATAGACTATCCCACTTATCGTTTACTTGTATGAGAGTGTCTCTAACTAGATACTACTGTTGTTTCCCGATGACACCCACGACTACAGGGTTATTGCACTAACCGGTACAGCTCCATCGGAACTAGTCACGTGGTCACTGATTTTGACTTCACTGATTATTGGAGCCAGTGTTAGTTACTATTAGAGCGACATAGCGTCATATAAGGTTTTATGTGCATATATTTAATTTAGACCGTTTGGAGCCATAAGAAGTTATTTTGAAAGGTTAAAATCTCCATAAGAAGCTAATTCAATTTATCTTACCGCTTGGTATCTCTAATTAACTATATTTTTAACTGAAATGCTTATCTTCACATAAAAATACGTGATTTATCTAAACGACACTAAAAAAAATTCTGAACTTGGTTTAGGTTTATATCTTGTCTGGTGCTTTTATATTATGTGGTATAAATACAAGAGAGTTTATCACCTCTATTTGTATTATTGAAAGAGATATTCTGGGCCATTTATTAAATAGTTAACACATGATTTGAAGTAAAATAAATTTCAAATTAGATATTTTCATAGTACATCAATGGAATATTAATAAATTGTATTTGCGTGAACTGTTTTGCAATACGCAACTTTCAGTTCGTATTGAACGTGGACTTAATTACGTAAAGTATTACGCCACAGGCAAATAAAACGAGATAAATCAGAAAGTACTAGGAGACAGGAAGAGCTATTGTTCGGCTTGCACCTTCAATGCTTCGTTACAGCACCGTCATGAGGTGCGCCTTGTCTCTCTAA